TTCGTGAGTGGTCAGTGGTTACACTCGTGAGGTAAAGAATGGGTTTGTGACTTTTACATTCAATTGAAAAGACTCGCGTCACTCTTATGAGATGGTTGAACGGAATACAGACTCCGAGCAGTCCCTTTTTTTTTCTTAAAGATAGTGAGGTCACGCGTATCCTCTGAGCATGGAGAAGCCGCGAGACGAGATCTTTTTGTTTGAATCAGGACAGATAAGTTGATTTATTTATACTTAAAACAATAATTGAGGTCCTTGTAATATCATTCTTAATTAAATAAATGTTTTACTCTTAGTCTTAGTGAACACAACCTCCTAAAACAATAATGCTCTTAGCAATTCTCTGGCCACACTATAGGCCATTTTCACAGGTTTTGAAAAGATAAATTTGATCTGAAATTTATTTCATTACAAATTGAATTTGGATATCTTTGGAGTAATGAACAACCATGAACCTCACTGGCGATGAAAATTTTTGGTACTGAATTACCATAGAAGCAGTCTTGAAAGAGGTACATGTATATGAACGGCACTTCCTCAGAGGAGTAGCATGTTATTTGTGTTTCTGACAATTTCTAAATGGATGAATGTTGTAGTTTTTTTTTCTTTTAACCCACACAGCTCAAGTTATCCATTAAGAGGTTTTCAACTGAATTGAACATAAATAGCTCCACACAATAGAATCATTCAACATCACTAAGCCTAAATTTTTCGGAGCTCTCTGATTGGTGTATTGCGAAGTTACCTGACTTTTTCCTTCGTTTACAATGATATTGAACAAACAACTTACAGTAGTGAAAATAGAGGTCAAACCTCCTCGGGGCAGTTATTGAAAACATATTCTATATCCGAATATATCACAGAAGACCCATTTTTAGTAATTCAGGCGTATACACAGAACCTCTCCTTTAGCAATGTTAGTGAAACAAAACAGTCACTTGTCTTTAATATTCTTTACGCATCTTTACTCACTGCCCCGTTTTCCTCCATTCGTTCGGCGCAGTGACCGCAAACGGAATGACCACACGGGTGACATATTTTAGCATCGACCATTGAACAAGTAATGCAACACGAGTAAAGATAAATTAGGAATAACCATGAGACAACCATGACTTGAAAAGTTCGCGATACGTACCAAATTTCACGTAAAAATTATGGGAAACTGGTAAGGTCGATAAAATCGAAACAGTCTTGTGAAGACGACATGCTTAATTTTCACATCGTGTCACTGCACAAAAGGTGACGAGACGCCGACACCGCGTTGCTTCTCATACTCGCACATCGGTCATACATGATTTGCACACCCAACTGAACTAGTCACAAACCATTCTTACGACTTGCACGTAATGTACAGCTGTCTATTTTCTATCGATCGCCTTAGTCAAATATAACCGATATGGTATGCGATTGTGGCGATTTAAGACCCCTTTTTTACAGCGCTCATTGACGAATTTAATGTCAAATCTTCCGATTTGTTTTTCTGAAAAAAGTAAGTACTTTGACAAAATAAACAATAAAGTCATTGGTAAATTCAAGGACGAAGCCTGCAGAGTTCCCATCACTGAATTTGTTGGTTTAAGATCAAAGATGTATTCTTACATCAAAGGCAAAGATAAAGGCGGTAAAACAGCAAAAGGAATAAAGAAACTGTTATTAAATAAAGACATCAAACATGAAGACTATAAAAACGTTTTATTTGATAGTAAACAAATTCGTCATAAATTGAAAACTGTCCGAAGCAACAATCATCAACTTGGAAGCTAAGAGCTCAATTAAGTGTCATTATTTTGCTTCAACAATAAAAGGTATATATTTAATGGTAGAAATTTATATGCATCGGGACATAAACATACACAATAATAAATGCAGCCAAGTTCTATTTCAATGTTCAACTGGAGATCGTGATTGCATCACATATATATCGGGTGTCGCCTTTCGCAAACGTGACGCTCTTCCCCTTCGCTTGAATTTATGACGATGTATTTCAGTCATTGTCTCAACTTGATCCTGTAGCAAGCGCCGAGAAGTTTCGTTTCTGATGGCTACTCGACATTGATGAACGGCTGATGAATTATGCGACTATCATATGACCTCAAAACAATAGTAATGCTGACTTATTTACTCGAGAAAGCCCCTATTGTATTACATCATCGACTTCCTGTTTTTCTGAGAATATCACACTACGTCGATTCTTTCCTGTTCTATTTGACTATGTGAATATTCAAACACACTTTTATTTTACGAATCTTGAAAAATACATATAGAGTTCCAAAAACTGCGCTAGTCTCCCACACTATGATTTTATAATATGATTCGATCAGAAGGAAAGTAGTACAGTAAGTTAGCGTTGTACAAGATCACTTTTTCGATACATTTTCCTTTATTTCTTCAAGTTTTCCCACATTAACGATCTTCTTAGCGAAGTCAATAGCAGACACTAAGGCCAACACAATCTCTGCTATTAGCGCTGCTCCCTCCGTTGCAAAGGCTGCTATGACCATGGCGATCACCTTTGCTGCAGTCTCCAACCAGTCGCGCCATGACATATTGCGGCACAAACTCTTGATGATGGTCCACAGCAATCCAGCTGCGTAGGTATCTTTGACGAGGTAGAAAAGGGCTTTAGCCTGGTCATATCTTTTGCCCTCCGCCGCATTCCATGAACTGATAAACTTCTTTATCGCCTCCTGGAATTTTGAAGAATTTTCAATTGCTTGCTCGGTTTCTTCGATGGTGGCTTTCATGGTACCCTCGCTTACAGAAATTTCGATACCAGCTGCCTGCGCGACAAGCAGCACCCCCTCCACCACAATACTGGCGTACTGAAGAAACGAGGTGTAGTCGATCGCAGCAACCGTCTTCAGCTTAATGGGTGGTCGAAACTCATGTCCTTCTCTCGTGAACTGCGCCAGATAATAGCCATCGTCTGTCATGCTTATTTCCATGCAGAATGTTGGAATGGTGAGCCCCTTTTCAATCAAGCTGATTCGGTGTTCGGTTAGATGCTTCTCAAGGCGCTTACGGATATCTGGGATATCTAGTTGAGAGGTAAACTCGTGAGAGAGCTCCACTTCCTCTTTGGCGGCTTTCCTAGCTTCCTCAGTGATAGAATCTTTCAATTCACTGTCTGCAACGAGCTTGGAATAATCTTCAGGGTCGTTCTTTTTAATATACGCCCACGTCCCCTTTACAGCTTCCGAGATGATCTCTTCATCTGTCGCCATTTTCGATCAAGGGAACTTTAGGTTGCTGTGAATGAAAAGCATTCAAGACCAGTTTCAAAATGTTATTGCAGATTTTACACCAACGAACGCAAATACTGCTGAATAATCAAATTTCATTTTAATCAAAATTAGGCAAGATATCTTCAGATTTGAACCTTTTTTAGTCAAAAGTAGGCAAATTATCTTTAGATTTGAACCTCGAAAAAGCTAGATGACGATCGCTACGGAAGAAAGCTGTTTCCACACGGGATATCTAGGTATCTGTTTAATTCATTTCGAGGGCACTTTTCTGATCAACATCATTGCAAGACAATCGAACGGAGAGATGAGTACCACAAAGATAGGTTATAGATATCTAAACCTTTTCCAAAATACTGTTACAAAATGTGACGAGAATTTTCCTTAGTGCCCACAGATATTTCGCTCATTCGGACAAATATTTTAACATCGATGCTGAAGCGATCCTTAACGAACGAAGTCAAACCATTATTAACTAGTTCAGCATATGCGCTTGCCCAATAAAACGCTTCACCAGCTCTAATTCGAAGAGCAACTTAAATGAGCTATACAATTATCGTTTGTTATTGTCAACTTAACTTGAAAGAAATCTAAATTGATTATCAACTCAAACCTACTTACCAAATTTAACTGTATCAAGCTCAGAGTCCAGCTTCAAAGGAATTAAGAGATGTAAAGTGCCTTTGACGTTCTGAACTTTCAGTTTATACGCACCGACTCGTCCATCACGTGATAGTCACGAGTAAGCTGTCATTCTATCTCAGCGCTTGCTGATTGGTCCATTGTGAATCACCTGATTCTCTCAGTTGTTTTCATCTAATGCTAAATTTCGTTGCACCCCCAGGAACCATAAATAGCTCTACACAATAGAATCGTTCAACATCACTAAGCCTAAATTTTTCGGAGCTCTCTGATTGGTGTATTGCGAAGTTACCTGACTTTTTCCTTCGTTTACAACTGATATTAAACAAACAACTTACAGTAGTGAAAATAGAGGTCAAACCCCCACGGGGCAGTTATTGAAAACATATTCTATATCCGAATATATCAC